ACTTTGTTTCAACCCAGGAGCTGGCTTAGAATTAAATTAAAGGCTCAATCCTAGCTATCATTTTGAAATGTATTTAGAATATTTCTTATGTCCTAAATTTTTATTCAAATTTTATTTTATTATATCATTGTATGGATCTTTCATTGTGGGCAACTTTCTTAGCAAGATGAAGTGGTATGTGAATAAATGTAAATAGAAAACAAAACAAAATAATATATAATATATAAGCATAACTCACAATATGCTCATATATATATGCACCTTAAAAGTTGTGTTTGGTTTTGGTTAATGAGAACATTTCTTTAGTTCTTCTGGACATCTTGGAAACAGGTCAGTGGTTTCCAAACATGGTTGTTCAATGTGGACTCGCAGAGCCTGGATATCAGCATGGAAATATATCAGCCTGGAGACAGCTAAAATCTATATGTGTGATTTTAATTAATTCTTCAGAAAAAGAATACTTGTTTGTATTTGTTTATTTTGGTTTTTGGTGATGATGTTTGGAAACCCTTGACCTACAACTCTTCACAGAGATCTGGAAGAGTATGAATCCAAGCTGGCTTACACCGACTTTATCTTCTCCTCGGCTTATTGGTAAAATTGATGGTTTACACTGTGGCCTGGTGTCTTCCCTCCATTTCTTCCAGGGCACCAATCCAAAATACTACGTGGAATCTGATAGCATGTTTCATGGAACGTGGTTTTTCTTATTTTGGATCAAAGGAAATGGTGACCACCGAAAGTCATGTACATAGGATAATTGGTCACCTTATTGCCCTAATTAATTTTCTTCCTTCCTTCCATTTATGTGCTCAGTTACATTTTCTTTTTCATAAAGATAACAACTTAATCATTACTTTATAGAGTTTCCCCAATCTTGTTGATTAGGTTAATCACACCTTTCTATATATGCTTTTACAACATCTTGTACCGACATCTCTTTTGTGGGTATTTATGACAGTTATAAACTTACATTTTTTGTGTGATCTTTTGTTAACCATCTGTCTCCTCCAAAAGATTTTAGGTTCCCTCAGGAACAGGGAGCCTTTTTGTTTGTTTATTGTTTAGATCTCTAACACTTAGCACAGTGCCTAACCCACCATGGAGGCTCCAAATTGTGTCGAATGTGGAAATAAGTGAGTGTACACGAGTATGAGTGAGTATGGTGGCACACTTTTGCACATTCATGGATCAAAAATGGTGGGTGAGAGTCTGGCAGTCCTAATCAGCAAGGGGCTGATATCTTTTCTCAACTTGTTCTTGTTCCTTGAAAGTGTGAGTCTCTTTTTGGTGACTTATATGAGAAACGATTATGGAGTCTTGACTTAACTTAGTGTGAGGAACTTGTTACATGTAAAATAAAGTGGTTTCTTCACTTGTCATAGCTCACTGCTCAGAACTTTAAGGTGGGAAGAATTTGAGAATAGAGCTAATTTTATGTATTGAAGTTGATAATGAGCTAACCTTTTTTCCTGGAATATGCAGTGTTTTTGAAATAACCAAATAAGGCATGACACTGACATAAGAACAAAACTGGGCTGTTTCTTAGGTTCTCCAGCACATTTAAATGGATTGTTTAAAGTCATTACAGTGAAAGCTTGCACTCGCTTGATTTTCTTGGGCACCTTGTCAACAGCGAATCCCAATCATAGACCATCCTGTTCCTCAGAATAGGATTTATCTGTAGCATTTCTTCAACTAAAAAATTCTGTCAGTGACCAGGCATCGTGGAAAGAGTGCAGGCTTAGAGGCAGGGGGACCTGAATTCAAGATCTGGCCAGGCTTTGTGTTGATGAATTAAAAGATACTGGCCATGTTCCTTATTTTCTTCAAGCTTTACTTTATTTAAAAAAAAAAATGAGATAATAATGCTTACTTTGCCCTGATGATGAAAAGTGCCAGCTTCTCTAAAGCACCCAGCACCTTCTTGTGATCATTAATTTCAAGATTGTATTAATTTTCAGAAAAAAATTCTGAATCAATTGGAAAAATACATTAGAAATATTCCCATTGGTGTCCTGGAAGTCCTGGTAATCTATGCCGAGGAACAGAAAGACTAGTTAATTGCTACTTTCCACTTGTGTGGAACTGAATGGTAGACTTACATTTTAAAAGCTAACCAACTCACACATGATACTCTTAGCCAAATACCACCCGGGAAAAGAGTGTTCCCTAAGAGTGTCAACACTTACCAAAATACACTCCCTTTTTTGGACACAAAAGTGTTTTTATAAACCAAGTAATAATTAGAATGTTTTTGATGGAAAACTGCAGGGAATGAGACCTTTGGAACAGCAAAATACAGTGCAGAGCCAGGTAGGTGGTGGGATAGCTTGAGAAATGTTCCAAGCCTCAGGATGGGAGGAATCTCATTTTTTCCTGAGACTTGCCAGCGAAGCTGAGATCCCCATCCTGCTGCTGCTTCGGAGCAGAGAGGACAGCGACTTCCTTGTCCTGCCTTGTAAAAGCTTGCACTTAGGTTCATCAAAGACAGGGTCAGGTGGAGGTTGGGGACGCAGGACCCAGGGGGGAGGCGGGGATTTTGACTACTGTTTCTGTTCAGTACTTGGCAAAAAAGCAGGGTGCTCATTCCGAGGAAATGATCTGAGGGCCAGCCAGGTGGACTTGTGGGTGGATGCCATATTGAGTAGCAGCCGTGGAGAGAGGGACCGAGTACTCAGCTCCCCGGTCTTAGGTACAGAGCAGAATTTTTCCCACCTTCAGCACTTAGTATATCGGCTATGCACCAGACCCCAGGTGTGTCTTGAAGAGCGGTGACTATCATGCATTTAGGTATATAGCTTAAGGTGAGCAAAGCTGGTGTTTCTATTGAAACGCAGAATCTGCTCTTGTATTATTGATGGTGCTGGAATTATTTGGCTGAGGAAGGGCAAATTTCATGTATTGACGGGTAATGAGAAAGCCCTTTGCAGGGCAAATTTCATGTATTGATGGGTAATGAGAACGCCTATGCATTGTATTCTAAACAATGAAGGCTCCGCTGACGGCTGAGATAAGAAAAGTGCTGGAAAGCAGATGCATGATAGCTTCTCTGGTACATTCATTTTGTCTAGGGTCATTGTGGTGCATGTGCTTTCATTGAAGAAAAATGAGTCATATATTCTCCTTGCTGAATTTGTTCATGGACCCGATTCCCCAGAAGCTTTTTCCATTTTAGCGCGTAGCTGACTCCTTTAAAGAAGTAGAATGCAGCCAAAGTAAAATAGTGCCAGTTATTGCTATGATTTAGAATTCCATGTTTCGTTCGGTGCTTTTGTTACCTTGGTTGCCACTGTAGGTATGTCTGTCTGTACTCCTGGCCAAGCCACCCCCAATGGAAACAAAATAACCTGATCTATATACATTCTCTGTAGCCCTGGGTATTCATTTGTAGTACTTTTTAATATATCAAGTTGACATTTCTGATGGTGATTCAGATGACATGAATTTTATAAGATAAACTGAAGTAAAATAAAACCCAGAACTCAAGGCTCCTCTACACCAGTATGAAAATTGCCTACACTGTCTTAGAAACCCTCCTTCAGCTTCAGGGTCCGGATCAAATGCCGCTAACCTCAGAACGCCCTCTCTGCCCTCAATAAGCAGATCCTTTCCCCCATGTTAGGATTTCCTCACTGTCCTTCTCTGCACTGCCCAGTTGACACTTTTCTTTTCCATTCTACATTGTGGCTGGCTTTGTTGGGTGTTTGCATAAAAACCTATTCTAACCTTCTTAAGAACGAAGAGCTTTAAAGAATTTTTAAGTGAGTCTTTGTGTTTTCTGCCCTGCCCAGCACGAATTGAATCCAAGAACTACTTACTGTGTGATGCTATTTTTCCTACTCTTGTTGATTAATCAAAAACTGTTTCAACCTCTCTTCTGTGCCAGCAGTTGTTATTCTGTGCCAGGGAGATGTGGTGAACAAGGCATACATGGTCTCTGCCTTTGATCAGAAGTAATTTCCTTCCCTCTCGATGCCTCTACTTTGGGAAATCGAGTAGGAGAATATAAGAGGCTGGACAGGAAAGGAGAAAAGAAGAAACACCATGAGTTTGTTGGAAAGCGCAAACGTTGTCCCTGTTCTCCTTTTCATGGTCAAGTTTAGGACTGGCTCAGGTTTGCATTCAGATTTCTCCTGCTCTGAATCCTTTCTGGAGTTCCATATGGCACTGTTTCCTTCCATGTTGCAGGCTGAGTCCTCCGGTATTTCTTAGTCCCTTGGACTTTGGAGCCAGGCCTCTGGGAATGGACCTCTCAGAACCCAACCTAGGGTTAGGGTTAGGGCCTAGGAGCATGGAAGGTCCGACCAGCTGGCTTTGCGGTGACCTTCCCCAAAGGCTGAGTTGAGGGCATGGGTTAGGGTGAGTGTCAGGCTCAGGTTTTGTGTCAAGGGGGCTGTTGAAAGTGTCGGTTCTCTTTGTATGTATGAGCCTCTTTTGAGGCTCACTTTGTGCTATTAATAGAGTCAACCACTTCCAATCAGATGATGTTGGGTGCCTGGTTCATAATGTGTGCTTAATTAGTGTCAGTGTTATTAATTTCCTTATTATTATTAGCTGCTGCTGTCTTTACATGCATGGCTATAAGGGTTATGTCAGCACTGATGGGAATAGGGTGGAGACAGCCCCAGCTGGGAATTTGCTCAATGGTCTCCTTTCCCAGGTGGCACAGCGGCCTTCAGGCTCTCTGAACAACTCCGAGGGTGTGCTGGAACCTTCCATATGTGGACCTAATCTGACAGTTGTGGGCTTCCTGGCTCTCACCTCCTGCTGGCAGTCTTCCTTTGGCTTCCACTAAACCTTAACAAATGGGAGAATATGTGAAGGGAAGAAGAAATTTACTCCCCAATTTGGCCTCCTGGTTGTAAGTTTACTTAGACCTGAAGGGAGGAATGGTGTTCAATATCTTGTGGGTTAAGCTATCTCCTGGCTAGAACTTTGTTTCCTCCAATACTAACAAAATGGATTTTCTTCCCTCCCCAACCCTTTCTTGTTAATAGGGTGCTGAGAAAATTTTGTCAATGAATGAATCAGGAGAACTGCAAGACCTCTTAACCAAAATTGAGGTAATTGTGCTTTTAGCATCTTATTTTTAGTAATCAAAATGTTAAGCGCATTCTGATTGTAACTGAGTTTTCCTAATTGAATTCTTCTCTCCATGTTCTTTCAAATATGGAACAGGATACATGTGGCAGTTTTGATATCACCTGCCATTAGGTTTGTTCCTGCTGGAGTGACTTTGGTGTTAGGCTCTACCAACCTCATACTATTAGCTGGGAATTCCAGTCAGCGTTATTAGAGCCTAATTCGTCATAATAGGGATGTTGATGAGTGTTTCAGAATGAGGCAATTGTTTTGAAGCACATTTACAATTTTCATTTAAATTATTTTTTCCATGGACCAGCTTATCATTTCTAAAGATTACAGCAAAATGGTTTCTCCAAAAGTACACACTTTAATTTTGTTCTAATCCTTATGATTATAGCATCAGGACGGTGATTGGTTCAAATATATAATGTATTAAATCAAAATATATAATGTATCAAAAGAGGAAGCCCTCTGTTACACTATTTTATCAGCCTGTTTCTATTGGTAGGAAAGTGATATATTTTCTTGCTCAAACTGGGACACTTTGAATATGAAAAGGCTCTACTAATAATTGTTCTGGGCCAGCACACATGAACCAGGGCATTCCCAGGTGAACTGGGCAATATGGCCACCCAGTATCTATATGCTAGTACTGGCTCTTCTTGCTTTCGTTTCCTTTACTGACCTCATGTCTGATTCTCTACCATTTTTTGTGTTTTACTTGAAAGAGGGAACTATGTGTGGCTTCTTCCTACCATTCCTTTGGGCAAGCTGTCTAGTCTGACTAGAATGCTCTTGGCCCAGCTCCTCATTTCCCTCCACCATCTTCAAGACCCACATAGAGTATCCCTTCTTCCCCCAAATCATACCTGGTTCTCTCTCACCTTGGAATTCCTATAACCCTCTTTTTGTTGGATGCTTATCAATTTTTTTTCTTTTTGCTTTTTTATGACTTTTCTATGGCTATTTGAGTCATGTCCCAAATGAACTATGTGTTCCTTGGTTTTAGGAATCATGCCTTTTTCATACTGTGATCTTTCCCAAAGGACAAGCACAATGAGGGCAGGTACTCCATATTCTGCCACTCCTCTCAGCTTGAAAATCTGTATGGATGGATTTATTATTTTTTTCCTTTTGTCCCTATATTCGACTCCAACCCTTTGAAACCATTAATCTGGCATATCTTTTTATTTAAATGATTTAACTTGGTTAAGGTATGTTATTTTCTGTGTACATTTTTAATTTATGTACCACTGTTATGTACTGTACCTAACGGTATTGCAAATTATTTTTACTAGGTGCTATGTTTTTAAGGATCATCTGTGTTACTGTATGAACATTTAATCCATTTCTTCTAACTACTCCAGGGTGGAAATATTTTATATCTGCATTATCCAAAGTAGGAGCCACAGGCTATATATGGCTACCAAGCACTTTATAGCCACTATTATAGTGAATAATATGGCTAGTGTGACTGAGAAACTGAAATTTTAATTTTATTTAATTTTACTTATTTAAAATTAAATTTAAATAGCCACATGTGGCCAGTGGCTCCGTTTTGGACAGTGCCACTCCATGGTGACCACCCACTATTTTTTACATACCTACTCTTCCATTGATGGATACCTAGATGTCCTTTAACATCCTTCTCTGACAGTGCTGCCAGGAACAGCCTTGAACATATTCCCTTAAGAATTTCTCTGGGAGTAGAAATTGCTTAAGTGTACCCTTAATTTTCCAAGTAGATGTGTCTCTGAAATGGTTCACTTTGGAGATATTCCCTCTTGTAGAGAAAGAAGTTTAGTGTGTTGCCACATTCTTTTATGTGTTTCTGCATTCTTTATTTTTTTACATTGTTCTCTAATGTACTGTTCTCTAATTTTTGCTAGGGTAGTAAGTGTAAATATATATTGCCTTCCTGTTCTAATTTATATTTTCCTGATTACCACTGAGTTTAGGTATCTCATTTATTCTTGTTAGATTTTGGATTTCTTGTGTGAATTGTATATTCTTACATCTTACATCATAAAAGTTTTTTTTTGTTTGTTTGTTTTGGTTGGTTTTCAGAAGCTCCTTCTGTATTCTAAATATTAATATTTTGTTTTTTTTAGTCATTGCCAATATTTCCTTTACTTTTTCCAGTTTTTTTCACGATGTCCTTCATCCAATAGAAATCCTCTGATATAATCAAATTATTCTTCCTCATAATGAAGTGAACTTTCATCTTAAGGTCACAAAGGTAGTATCCTATATTCCTTTCTATTAACTTTATAATGTCTCACATCTAGGTCTTCATTCATATGGAATGCCTTTCATTTTCTTTTTCTTTTTCTTTCTTTCTTTTTCTTTTCTTTTCTTTTTCCTTTTTTTTTTTGTGAATAAAATGATAGAAGTTTTTGAAGTGAAGATACAGAAAGAGTTCTCAGGAGTGAGAAGGGTCCTGACAGGGTTGCCCTTCATTTTCTTACTTATAATGAAATAGCTTCCCCAAATCACCTACTAAATAATCTACCATTTTTTCATTGCTTTGTTGTGCCAGTTTATACCATAGTAAATCCTCATGTACATTCGGGTCTTGGTTTGAGCTCTCTAGTCCGTTCCATTGTCGGTTCTCATTGTACCAATATCATACTGTTTTTATTTCTGTCATTTAACAGCATCTTTTAGAGCATAAAGGGTAAATCTTTCTCATTACTGTTCTTGAAGATTGATGATTGGCTTAGCTACTCATGGACTTTTGTTTTTTGTGTCTATAATCCCTTAATTCAGATTGGTTAACACTATCATGCTATATATATAACCTTTCTCTCTCAGCTCAAAGAATTTTAGAAAGAAGCTTTTGTCCTCTTCACTAAGTCTGTCTCTATTCTACAGATGACATAAATAAGGTGCAAATATTTAAGACGTTTCTTGATGTTGAAAAGAATTGTATGGTATTGGCTTCTGCTGTTGTAGTTGCTGTAAGGTGCTATAACTCTGTTGGGCTGCATTTCCCATATGGCAAAACTGGTAGAGAAATTGTGGCCATCCAAGAAAGCCCTAAACTCTGCCAGTGAAAGAGGCTAGGGCTTAAGGCAAACTAACCTAGGTAAAGATACCTTCAAGAGAGGCAATTGGAAGAGCCAATAAAAGTGGCTAGGGATGCAGGATTCAGGTCTAAACCAATCTCATTCTTCTACACATGACTTTTGGCAGTGGAGCAGGAATTAAATATTCATGAGGTTGGAAACATTGGAAACTTAACTATGTAGCAAGTAATATTCTTAATGTTTTACATGTATTAAGTCATTGAAACCTCACAACAGTTCTACATGTTGGGTTCTGTTATTGTCCCCATTTTATTGACAAGGAAATGGAGGCACAGAAGATTAGATCACTTGCTAAAGACCTTACACATAGTGTTTGAGTCATGATTCCAATCACCTTGACTCCAAAGCCCATGGTCTTCAGCATGAATCTATGCTTCCATGATTCTCAAATTAAGTGACATATAGCTGTCTGCGATATCTGATCATATGAGGTACGACCGAAGGCTCAAGTAGACAGAGAATTACATCCAGGGAGCAGGCTAGATTTTAACATTAGGCTCTGAAACTAGGGGTGGGGCATCCTGAAAGATAGGTAAATTGGTCATAATTTTAGAGAGAAAGCAGACAAATCTTGCCAGGTTCTAGTTTGCTGTAACTTGGTGCTACATGGTAGATGACGCCTGTCCTAGTCCTCATAATTCAGGTCCTAGTTTTCAGTAGTTATTCCAAATGATGGTGAGCAAAGAGGCAGAGCAGTTGCAGTTAGACCATTAAAAATGGAGTCAACAAATAATTTAAAATTTCCTGGTTGAAGAATCTTAGCATACATCCAGCCCAAGTGAAAACGGCTCTGGGAAGCCAAGTGAGCCTGATTCATTGATGAAGATTGTCAGTGGACTTACACATGAGGAGCTGGTCAAAGCCAGCAGAAGCAGCTAGAATATAGCAATAGCTGGTATGGATACTTGTGCTCAGTGGAGCTAGGTGCACCAGTGGGGATTCTGTTCCTGAGATGAAATTTACAGGGGATTCTTCCAGTATGAGAGTATGAGCTCCATGGGGACACAGTATGAGCAGTATGTGGACACAAGATCCTTGTCTACTTTGTTCTATTCTTTTCTTCTAGTGCCTAGAACAGGGATTGGCAAATAATAGACAATAAATATTTGTTGAGTGAAAAGATGAATAAATCCTCTTTCATTCAAGGTTTCTTTTTTGAGAAGGCAAAGCAGTGAACTGTTGAAAAAGGAGATAAAAATTATTATTTTATGTAGGATAATGCTTGGGTGAGAAGGATGAAATGAAAACACCATTTGAGTGAAATTTATTTATTTATGTATTTATGTATTCCTTCATATGAATAAACAAGCTGAAGATTAGAAGCAAAGAAGTGTTTCAGGCTCCCCCTAAACAATAATCATGATGAATGACTGATCCTGCTGGTGTCCACACAGAGAAAGCCGAGGGAGCCTTGAGATGTATTAGCAAACACCTGGTTATGGCAGATACTGCATTAAAAGATTGCAGATGGTAGAGAAGCTCCAAGTATGCTTTTGCCTTGCTATTTTTTTTAAAGATATGAACAAACATTCTTGTCATTTCTAATGAGATTGCCAATATAGTGTCCATTGCCTGTACTTTTTTCTTGTAAAATCTGACTCTCCCCTGAGGGCTGGTGATTACTTATTGTTCATGAGGAACAGGGGTAAGATTTTCAGCTACACGTGGAGGATGCTATGGCTATTTTTACGGGGCATTGGAGCTGTCAGAAAGTGTTCTAACTCTCCCTGGAGAAGCGTAGCTCTGGATGATCGCCCTTTCCACTGGGGGTGCCCATGGCATGGTCATAGACCACAGCAGCAGAACACCACCTACTCACCTGGGAAATCAGGCCATGTACTCTGCCTGCCTTTCTCTGAAATCTGAACATCTTTTTAAGTACGTTTGTGGCAGTCCATCACCCTGGGTTCAAGAATCAGACTCATACGTTTAACTTACACATTTAGGATCATGAGCTACAAATTTCCTCTGTGTCTGGATTTTGTTCAGTGGCTTCTTTCTCAAGTCTGCAAAGGAGGACACTGGAAACTCTGATTATCAGGAAAGATTGTGTCTATTACCAGTCTGATCAGACAGAGAGGTGTTTAGCAGCCACTTAGCAAGCATTTGCTGTATTAAATTGTTGAATATAGTTTAAAACAAAATACACAGACAGAGGTAAATTGTCCAGGGATGACTATATGCCAAGTGTGCACTCTTTGACGATTTCTTATGTGGATAAATTCGCTTCATAAACAATCTGGGTGATGAGGCTTATGGTTACAGGAACTCAGATAAATTACTTCCTCTTTGCTGGAATACTTAAGAGTCTTTCCAGCTCTATTAGAATAGGAATGGGCAATCTGAGGTTAAAAATAATAAATACATTCATTTCCTAATTTCAAGGAAGACATTGAAAGCCTTTGATGTTTCTGTATTAGATAAGGGGAAAATCTCTTTATGTTTCTGAATTTGAGTTTGTGCTACAAAGGAAATCTATTTGACAACCATTCATGACCTCCACCCTTTTCTCCTTGTTGTCTTTGGTCCTTTGTTAGAAAGTCTGGAGTTCTTCTGTGCTTCTATTCAGATGATTGCAGTATGGAGTAGACTTATTCAAAGACCTAAGGGTGGGGTTGAGAGCTACTCTGAAGTGAACAGGAAAGTGTCTGCCTCACAGCTTTATCCCCAGTGCCTTGTACAGTGCCTGGCAAGTAGACACTTAGTATTTGTGGAATGGAGGAATACATGAAAGTGTCTCACCTACTGAGTGTCTATTTTTTTAAAGTCTCTCACCAAGTATATGTGAACAGAAATAGGTAAAATGGGAGAATGACTTCTCCATCCTTTCTTTTTGAATTTCACCCCAAAGGGACATGCCTTTACCCAAACCACTATTCAAAGGAGGGTCATTCTGTAGACTCAGTCCTCCGTGTGCTATTCTCACCCAGGTCTACATAGTTTCTCACTTTGCTGGGCTACAGGGCATGGAAGAGCTAATTGCTTCAAGTTCAATGTTGCTGCAGTAAACCTCTTCATTGAAAGTGGAAGTCTGCTTTGTTGCTAAGAATAATGACTATTGCTACGTTTGGTTCTCCCTTCTTCCTCCTTCCTAGAACATTGTCCCTGTTTAGAAGACTTTTCTAGTTCTTTTAACATCTGTCCTGAGGGCAGAACCATCTCCTTAGCTGCATCTAATACATCGAATCCAAGCCAGTTCTTTTTCTTTGTTGAGACTCTTTTAAGTTGGAACCAAAGTCTAGTGAAAGTATAACGTTATAACAAAAGTGCTCTCTGAAGGAGACAGCTAGAAATGACTGAATTATTTATTTTTATTGGAAGAACAAATGGAGTAGATTGTGCTGGGTGACTTAACCGGAATGAGATTCCTGGAAGCTAATGGAGCAGTGCAAACTCCAGACCTGCTCACCCCGTTCCACTTCTGTTTCGGTCACAGCACGTATCCTTTTAATTCTTTCTGGTTTGAGGATCCCATGTAATACATTATTGGAGACAAGCATGGATGTAAATAAAGGTTAAAAACTACTCTTAAAGAGGAAAGACTGTGGGATTTGCTCTTTTTTGGTTGTTTTCATTTAAATTTCAGTTAGTTAGCATACCGTATAATATTAGTTTCAGGCATACAATAGAGTGATTAAACACTTCCATACAACACCTGACACTCATCACAAGTGCACTCCTTAATCCTTATCCTCTATTTAATCCATCGCCACCCTGCGTCCCCTCTGATAACTATGTTTGTTCTCTATAGTTATGAGTCTGTTTCTTGGTTTGCCTCTCTCTCTTTTTTTCCCCCAATGATCATTTGTTTTGTTTCTTAAATTCCACATATAAGTCAAATCATATGGTTTTTGTCTTTCTCTGACTTACTTTGCTTAGCATAATACTCTCTAGCTGCATCCACATCATTGGGAATGGCAAGATTTCATTCTTTTGGATGGCTGAGTAATATTCCGTTGCATATATCTTCCACATCTTCTTTATCCATTCAAGTATCAAGGGACATTTGGGTTGTTTCCATAGTCTGGCAATATTTGGAAAATACTCATACAAAAATTTATTTGTAGTCTATCTGAAATTCAAATTAACTGGGCATCTCATCTTTTTAGTCGCAAAATTTGATAACCTTATTCTGCTTGGAACCAGACCTTGTTATAATCTAGCATGAATAGGTGAAGTTCTGGACTCAGGGCCCCTGCAGGTCCTTTCATTAGAACTTAGGCCAACCCAACATTTGCTCTGACCAGTCAGGGCTCTTGCTGTACAAGTCATTATGTATTTTTAATATAAACTTCTAGCATAGCTCTAATGAATGTCAAGGGCCTATCTTCATCATATTCTTTCTAAAATTCACTAAGAACACCATTATTTACTAATTCTCTTATAATTTGCCTTTTTTCCCTAACTTTTTATTTTATTTTTAAAAATTTTTTATTTTTTAAATTTCTTTTCAGTGTACCAGAATTCATTGTTTATGCACCACACCCAGTGCTCCATGCAACACATGCCCTCCATAATACCCACCACCAAGCTCACCCAACCCCCTGCCCCCTCCTTCCCAAAACCATCAGTTTGTTTCTCAGAGTCCATAGTCTCTCACGTTTCATCTCCCCCTCCAGTTTCCCTCAACTCCCTTCTCCTCTCCTCCCTTCATTTCCTATCACTAGGTTTGCTTTTACTCGAAGTTGTTGGATTTTTTTCTAAAGACTTTTTAATATTATGTAAAATTATTGATTCACTATACCATGCTTTGGTCAATTCTTGCACAAAGGAATAACAAAAACCCACCTAGAAAGTAATTAGATTGCTGTACACCCTTAATCTAATATTTTGGGGGCAGTTTTGAGTCTATAATCTTGATAAAATTCCTTGTTTGCTTCATTCAACTTGCCAGCCACTACTTTCCATCAAAGTAATTCTGTGCCACTAAAAATGAGATATTGCCTGGATTTTGCCATCTTGATCTAATAGCTAAGTCAAACTGTAACCGCAAGTGAACTTTGTCGTATAGAGAAAATGTATATCTGAAAATGAATCTGGGAACATACAGATTTTCAGGCAATCATGCCCTTCATGTTTGTTCTCCAAAGTGCATTCCTTAAGGTATTAATTGTGAGAGAATCATAGTTGTTTCCTGGGAAAAGGGTTATCGTAGCTGTATGAGCTGGGGAAATGGTGGATTAAACCTAGTTAATGGTTTCCTTTCATTTGGGTGCTTTGGGGACTTCAGTGTGTGCAGTTGTGACTCTCCAGGGAATCGCCATATGTATGTGTATGTAAAATATGTTTGTCCGAGTGTGTCTCTGTGTGTGCATATAGATTGTATTTCCCAATCTTATTTTATTTTATTCTTTCTTTATTTTTTAAAAAAGATTTTATTTATTTATTTGACACAGAGAGAGAGAGAGATCACAAGTAGGCAGAGAGGCAGGCAGAGAGAGAGAGGAGGAAGCAGGCTCCCTGCGGAGCAGAGAGCCCAATGGAGGACTCAATCCCAGGACCCCGAGATCATGACCTGAGCTGAAGGCAGAAGCTTAACCCATTGAGCCACTCAGGCACCCCTTCCCAATCTTATTTTAGCAATTATTCCCTTCACAAAGCCAAGCTTTCAAACACTGCTGCAGACTCCTATTTTGCAAGTCAGAAGCTTGGGCTTAATTCACTTTTCTCTCTGTATTCATTCTGTAATGACTCCTGCTTAATCTCCCCCCACTAGTCCCACTAGTGGATGCCAGCAAAGGATATGTGCTCAAAGAAGCAAATAGAAATGTGTGTGAATAATTTTCAAAATATTATCCTCAACACACTGCATAGTTATTTTCATTCTAGTAGAAGGGTGTTTTATCTTTACTTGAGGTAGAGTGGTAGATAGCCATTGTGGGAAGTTTTATGGACTTAGATAAATGTCTTAAGATTTCAATGCCTATTTCCTTAAATATAAAAAGAGGGTAAAGAAAAAAAAAAAGAGGGTAAAGATGCCTGAATTACCTGCTTTGTAGTAGAAGGTGTCTGTATGTGTAAAGGATGAGCTTAGGGAAGGCTCTATGCAATAAGGCATTTGAAAGCACTTTTAAGAAACCAAAGCATTATTCTGTGCAGCACAACAATAAATCTTCAGTTGACAGTGGCTCCTCCACTATTCAGCTTTTAGTTTTCTGATTTTCCAGACTCACTATTAGTGATACTCTTCTATAAACAAAACTAGAAAACTGTTAAGAGTTATTAAAGGGAAAGCTACAGTACTTTCCTCTAATGCAAATAACCATTTCCTGAATTGCTTGGTTTGTAAATGCATGTGTCCATAAGATAGATTTCCTGGATTATGGACCCTTTCATCTAAAATGTACCAGTCTTCACGAACCTGCTGTTGATGGCCATCAATGGGATAATAAGTAGAACTTCAGCAAGCTTCCCCCCGGGTCTAATGTGCATAAATGGTCGGTGATTTCAAGTCCACAGCCATATCATGCCAATATTATTTTATGACCATCCATAATACAGAACTACAGGAAGACTGACTGAGTTGGTCATGCTAACACGTCTTCTGTCCTCCCTGTTCCTCTACAGAGAGTACAGCATCCACATGAATGCCCCTCCTGTGGAGGCTTTGGCTTTCTTCCGTGCTCCGTCTGCCACGGGAGCAAGATGTCAGTGTTTCGAAACTGCTTTACAGACTCTTTCAAAGCTCTGAAGTGTACTGTCTGCAACGAGAATGGTCTTCAGCGCTGTAAGAGCTGTGTTGGTTAGGTGGACCTCCCACCGGGGGAGCACCTCGATTTATTAACCAAAGTCAGTTGTATGGTTTATACTTTTTTTTTAAAGGTCATGTTTATGGACTAATCAATAAACTTTGTTTATTGTAATTGCCTTTGTTTTGAATTTTTGCCATGGCCATTTTCATCGATTTATTAAATAAAGGTTTGTTTCCCAACGATGTGCCATGCCCTGGGCTAGATTATGGTTTCTGCCTGGAATTAATGGAGTACCCAGGAGTATCCCAGGATATCCAAACTTTGATTTGCTAAATGTGTTTGATTTTCCTGAAGAGAAGACAGAATATATCTAACAGTGCCTATGGCCATGTCACCTTTTTGTCTAAAATGAGTTAATCCAACTCTCGAGATGCATAATGCACTTCTGTGTGTCTCAGCTACAGAGAGGAAGATGGCTCTGGAGAGTGGAAAATAATATAATCATATTTATACTTAGTAGATTTTTTAAAGCTGTAAAGCAGTCTTGGAGTTGATGACATTAATGATAGATCATTAACGTTATCAAGATCATTAACGTTATCAGGTGGATTTATTGGTGGTGATTTAAAAGCTTCCAGAAGACTTATCTGGACTTAGTTTTTTAAATATTTGGTTTGTGCTACTATCACTGAAAGCTTTCCAAAAAGGTGCTATTGTACTTCCGAGCTGGACATAGTTTGAACACCTAGGCACCGTTAGCAAAGTGGACAAAAAGAAATTTTGTTGTAATTATTGGTCGATTCCTACCTGTACATGTAGCTGTATCCTGATGGATTCCCTTATGAATAACTTTAATAAATCACTTGCTCAATATTTGTGAAAAGGTAATCAAAACATTTTATACTTTGACATTAAAGAAAGCTATAATCTTTACCGAACACTTTCTTATTGGTGAAGCATGGTATAAGGTATGGTTTTTATTCTCATGCAGCTTACATTCTAAAAAGGAAGAAAGTATTAAATAAGTATAGGAAAGATGAGTCTTATACCATAACAAATGGTACAGTGTGCTATGGGAATTACAGCATGAGAACCAACCTAGATGTGTTAAAGATGGTAAGAAAAGACTTTCTTGAACAGCTGATGTTTCAACTCCTGCATGAAGGATAATTGGAAACAAGTTAGCCACAGAGCAAGGGTGACTGGTCTCCAGGTAAAGGAATAGCATATGTGGAGACCCAGAAGTCAGAAAAGTTATGTGTTGGAGGAACGGTAAGAAATCCAGTATGGGGAGGGACAATCAGTAATAGAGGAACAGTTTATAGCAGGCTAAGTCTTCGACTAATAACACATTTATTTTGAACAAAATAATGAAAAATAAACAACTGTCGAAGGCTTTGGAAAGCAGCTACTACCGGAAAGGAATTGGAAGGGATTCAATCACTGGGGGAAGGGAAACAAACAGAATGAACTTACATTTATCCAGCTTCTCCTCTGAGAACACTTCCCAGTTTGCACAGAATATAGCTCATAAAGAAACTGAAAACTTACTGGATTAAAGAAATAAATATTGACATTTGGGGTTACAGGATGCCTGGAACTGAATGGAAAATTCTAAGAAATGAGAGAACCAAACAGAGGGGAGCCACCAAATCTGCTTATTAACTCCACTTAAATCCCAGGCTGATTCCTAACCTACTCATGCAGAGTAAAATTCTGGGATCAGTTTCAATGCATGTGGGTTTTCCCCACACCACCAAGCAATTCTCTGTTACTAGCTGGGGGTCCTACAGTTCAAGTCAATTCTGACACTATCTACTGGGAGATGTTATCAGATCCAGAGGTTAAGGGCCAGTCCCACAAGATGGCCCTCCCATCACCACCACCACCATTTCAGATGTCTATCAAAAGCCTAGGTTGTCACCTGTGCTTCCAATCAACCAGCTAGACATACGAGGTTACAAAGACCCCTCAATCTGAGATTGATTAGAGAACTCAGAGAAACATCTTACCTACTAGTTTACCAGTTTATTATAAAAGGTTATCACTCAGGAGCAGCCAGATGAAAGAAACACATATGGTGAAGTGTGGGGAAAGGAACTTCCAAGTGCTCTCTGAACATGTCACTCTCCCAGCATCCCCACATGTTCCACAACTCAGAAGTGGTCCGAAATTTTAAGGGTTTTAGCTCTGTGCCAGAAAAAGACACAAAGATCAAATATATATTTATTATAAATCACACTATCACTCAGAGGAAAGAAGTAGTTGAGAGACCAGATAGTAGAGCAGAGATTTCAATAGCTGCTTATGTTGCAAAGTCAGAATCTGGAGTTGAAGTGGTAAACGGTGAATATTTCCTTAAAATCCCAGAAGAGCCCCATATTTAGAGTTAAGGCCATGGATTAAGGGCTATATTGTAAAGCTAATTGAAAAAACAAAACACCCTTGCCTTCAGAAGACCAAAAACAAAATTTCTGTGGTATCATTGTATCTCTGGCTGCTTGCTAGAGCAAAACTCAACACTTGAACTAAAAATAAAAAGGAACTCATTGAGTATGAAAATCTATAGCTAACATTATACCTAATGGTAAAAAGATTAAATCCTTTCCTTTAAGATCAAGAAGAGTACATAAATGTCCACTTTTAACGGTTCTCTTTAATATTATGATGAAGGTCCTCTTCAATGAAACAGACAAGGAAAAAAAAAGGTCATAAAGATTGGGAAACAATAAAGCTCATTATTTGTAAACAACACGACTGGATTGTAGAAAATCCAAAAATATCTACAAATTACTGAACTTCAAGGTGAAGTTAATATTGTTGGATTTGAGGTCATTTTATAAAAGTTAGAAATAAAATACACAAGAAACAGAATATAAAATTAAAGTCATACAATTTATAATTTTATCAGCCATCTTTAAGGATGTGGAATACATTTTACAAAATATGTGTAGGATTTCCCATTTAAAACTACAATGTAAACTTTGCTGAGAAATTATAGAACTGAAATACAGGAGGAAACATCCCACGTTTTGGATCAGAAGATGACATTTTAAAGTACATATAGTTTCAATGAAATCTCAACTAAATTCCACCAGACTTTTTGCAGAATTTGACCCATAATTTTAAATCTATATAAAAATGCAAACAATCTAGGGTATTCAAGAAAATGTTTAATAAGTAGAGTGAAATAAACAAATAGACTGGAGAAATAGACACATACAATAAGGTCAATTGATTTTCAAGAAAGATGCCAGTTTAAGACAATGATGAATGGAAAGTCTTTTTGACAAATAAGGCTGGAACTATTAGATTCCCATACGGAAAAAAATGACATTGAAAACTACTACTACTACCATTGCCACCACTCCAGCTATTGGCCTCTAGTAGCTAGAGGCCATGGATGATGTTAAATATCCTACAAAACACAGGATAACCCCACCTCTCAGTAAGGATTCTCCATCTTGAAATGTCAATAGTGTCAAGACAGAGAAACTCTGATCTAAATGTTAATGCTAAACCAGGAGAGTATCTTTATAGTCTTGACGTAGGCAAAGCTGTTTTGAATAAGTCACAAGACACCTGACTATAGAAAATGATAAAATCTCATTAAAAAGAAATGAAGAGGGGAGACAAAACTGGGAGAAAATATTTACAGTACAAATATCTGTCCAAAGACTTCTATTTAGGATACATAAGGAACTCTGAAAAATTATTATTAAAGACAATCTAGGGGTGCCTGGGTGGCTCAGTGGGTTAAAGCCTCTGTCTTCAGCTCAGGTCATGATCCCAGGGTCCTGGGATCAAGCCCTGCATTGGGCTCTCTGCTCAGCGTGGAGCCTGCTTCCCCCTCTCTCTCTCTGCCTGCCTCTGCCTACTTGTGATCTCTGTCTGTCGAATAAATAAATAAATAAATAAATAAATAAATAAATCTTAAAAAAAAAGACAATCTAATAAAGAAGTGGAACTTCACAAAAGAAGACATTTGGATGGCTGAAAACAAGGGAATATATTAGTCATTGGGGGAATGCAAATTAAAGCCACAATGCAAAATTACTGTATCACATTTAGAATAGCTAATCTTTTAGGGGCGTCTGGGTGGCTCAGTCAGTTAAGCATCTCCTTTGACTCAGGTCATGATCCTAGGGTCCTGGGATGGAGACCTCCCTGCTAAGTGGGGAGCCTGCTTCTCCCTCGCCCTCTGCTCTTCCCCCTGTTTGTGCTCACTCTCTCTATCACAAATAAATAAAGAAAAAGAAATCTTGGAAAAAAAAGCTAATTGTTTAAAAGACTGAAGATCTAAAGTGTTAATGTAGATGTGGAACAACTGGATCTCTTATACATTGCTAATGAGAATGTTAATTGGTACAACCAGTTAGGAAAATCATTAGATGGTTTCTAATAAGTGTAATTGCACACTCAATAATTTTACTCTTAGTTATTTATTCAAGAAAAATAAAAAAACCTATGTCCACATTGTGTACATGTTTCATGGAATCTATATTTGTAATAGGAAAAAAGCAAGATGCCCACTGACAGGAGAACTAATAAGAAAATTATGATATATTAATAAAGGGGCACACTACCCAATAATAAAAAAAGACCAAGCTATTGATTCTAGCAATAACATGGATGAATCTGAAAAACATTATGTGAATAAACTAAGCCAGACCTGAAGAACATATACTATGTGATTCCACTTACATGAAACTATAGATTAGGACAAAATCGATCTATAGAACAATTGTCTCACAGGAGGGAAGGGGCAGAAAGATGAAATTAAATATGACTGGACCAGAATAAGACAGTGGTGCAAATTATCACTAGTTGAGATTAGATTTCTCTTCTGTCAAGAAAGGGTTGGAGAAAGGGGAGCCCTCTTACACTGTTGGTGGGAATGCAAGTTGGTGCAACCATTTTGGAAAACAGTGTGGAGATTCCTTAAGAAATTAAAAATAGAGCTTCCTTATGACCCCACAATTGCACTACTGGGTATTTACCCCAAAGATACAGATGTAGTGAAAAGAAGGGCCATCTGTACCCCAATGTTCATAGCAACAGTGGCCACAGTTGCCAAACCATGGAAAAAACCAAGATGCCCTTCAATGGATGAATG